TGATTAGAATTATCATAGAAATGTATAAAAAGAGGACATTTATTAAACTGTCAATACCTGGAACAAGAGTTTTTCTAGTCTGTAGAGGGACATAGTCCTTTTTTTGCTTTGTTTTTTCTTTCAAAAAATATCTTTTATTATTTTTTACATACACATTTATTATGCTATTATAATGTACAAAATTAATTTTCCCAATATAAATACACTGTATAGTAGTCCAATCAAAGACATTACCATACACATTATCAACAGATAAGTTTTCATTTTTGTGTCCCTTTAGTGTTTACTTTTTCCCACTTGATTTCCTCTCTTCCACCCTCCCCCATCGCCCACTCTCTCCCTAGACTATCTCTGGTATCCACATTTAGTCTCTATGCTTTTATAACTTACAATCTTTCAGTTTCTGCCATAGACTGCAGATATTAAATATATATTAGGTGTAGACATAAAATGCCTGTTTTTCATAGTCTGGTTTTTTTATCTTAGAAATAAAATTTCCATATCCATCCATCCACTTTCTATCTAATGCCAGGGTCTCTTTTTTTTTCTTTTTTTTTTTCTTTTCTTTTTTTTTTTAATGGGTGAGAAGTATTCCAGTGTATATATGCCATACTTTTTCAATCCATTCATCCATTCATGGACATTTGGGTTGGTTGCATGTCTTAGCAATTGTGAATAATGCCTTGATATACATAGATGTGAAAGTGTTTTTCTGATTGAGTGTGTTCCTTTTTTGAAATTTTTTTTTCTTTCTTTCTTTCTTTGGAGAGGTCTTTGCTATAGAGTGCCTGTGCTTGCCAGAAAGACAGAGAGATAGAAAGCAAGAAATCACTCCCCAGGGGGGATGGCCATACCACAATCCCTTCTCCTCCATTCTCCTCTTGGGATCTTGGACACGCATGCACACACACCCAGCATGAGTTTAAGCCACTGGGTATGGGGCTCAAACCGCAGATGACTATATGGGAGTCCAGCGACTTAGCCATTATGCCAACTGCTGGTCCTCCTGACTGAGTGTATTCCTATCCTTTGGGTAGATACCCAGAGTGGAACTGATCATATGGTAGTTCTATTTGTAGATCTTTAAGGAACTTCCATAGTGTTCTCCACAGTGACTGTACTAATTTACATTCCCACCAACAGTGTAGAAGAGTGAGGGACATAATCTTTAAAAACAAACTTTATCAGTAGAGAAAGAAAACTTTAAAAACTTTTTCAAGTAATATTAATTTTTTAGAGCCGGGGTGCATATGCATGTGTGAGAGAGACCTCCCAATGGGGGATGGACATACTACACTCCCCCTTCCTCCATTACTCTCTCTCTCATCAGGATTTTGGGCACATAAGCACACAGCACAGCAAGTTTTTAAGCCATCAAAGCCAGGACTCAAACTACAGCCATGTGGGATGCAGCTCCCTTAACTGCTGAGCCATGCATGGGGCCAACCATTAATATTATTTTATACAAATCATAATTGTATGTATTTATGGAGTGTAATGTGATATATTGATTTATGTATACCATGTGAAGTGGTTAAATCAAGCTAATTACCATATTGATTACCACACTTAACCATCACTTTTTAAAAAATGAATTTCTTTCCTTCATTAATGAAGCGGGTGGGTGGAGCGCCCATGACAGGGTCTTGCTACAGTGCAGTCCTATTCCTGCCCTGAAGCTTGTCAAAATCACAGGCACAGGGAACCAGCAGTTAGCGTAATGGCTATGTCGCTGGACTCCCACGTAGTCGACCGCGGTTCGTGTCCCGGACCCGGTGGCTTAAAACTCACGCCGGGCGCGTGTGCGTGCGTGCCCAAGATCCCGAGAGGAGAATGGAGGAGAAGGGATTGCGGCGTGACCATCCCCTCTGGGGGGTGATTTCTCGCTTTCTGTCTCTATGTCTCTCTCTGTCTGTCTGGCGAGCGCACGCGCCCTACAGTGAAAAATCTCTCTCAAAAAAAAAATCACAGGCACACAGGTGCACTTGACAAATTTAGGAAAACCTGGGATCCTAACCCAGGCTTCCCATATGGCTTCAGTATTGCACAGTGGTATCCTACCACCACCACCATGGCTGGGCCATCTCATAAGTTTTTGGAGTGAGAGATTTTAAATTAAAGCAAAACGTTTCCTTTCATATATGGAGAGCTACATTTCTGAATTCATTAGTTTATGTAGTATCATCCACAGCCCAGGAGGAGCTACTCTTCCATAATTTACATTGATGCCTAGTGTTTCCAGTAAGGGGAATATGTTGTAAAGGAAGTCCATTATGAAGAGAAATAACAACTAGAAAATCTGTCCCTTCTCTCTCAGATAAATGTTCTAAATGTACAGAGAATGGTGATATTTGAGGAATCAGGTTTCATGGCTTTTTTTCTTTTTCTGGAGAACTTAAGAGAAAGTCTAAAAAATGGGACCAGCAGTTGGAGTAGTGGCTATGTCGCTGGACTCCCACATAGTTGACCGCAGTTCGAGTCTGGACCCGGTGGCTTAAACTCATGCCAGGCGTGTGTGTGTGCATGCTCAAGATCCCAAGAGGAGAATGGAGAAGAGATTGCAGCATGGCTATCCCTCCTGGGGGATGATTTCTCACTTTCTCTCTGTCTCTTTCTGTCTTTCTGGCGAGCGCACATGCCCTATAGTGAAAACCTCTTAAAAAAAAAAAAAGAGAGAGAGAGAGAAACTCTAAAATCAGAAGTTTTTGTTCTATACCTCTCTGTGGATACAGGAAAAATCAACCTTAGTTTCTTCCTACTATGCTCTTACAACAGAGAATGTTTCTGTGGATAAAAATATGTGAGGTTTTCTCTCTACACACCAAGCTAGCAGTCAGTTCTGCCGAGAACACCAGCTGGGTGTCCTCTAACTTAATTCTGACACTATCTACCTAGAAATAGAATCAGATCCCACAGGTTGAAAGCTCAAGTCTCTGAGATTATTCCCCAACTGCAGATGCCAACTGCCAGCTTCAGGTTGTTTTACCTGCGTTTTGGATCATTTGGCTATAAATAAGGGTTCCCATGACCCCTTCTTCATGTTTGATTAATTTGCTAGCACTGCTCACAGAACAGAGGGAAACACTTCCCTTTACTGGATTATTGTATGTAAAATATATTACCGAGGATATTGATGAACACCAAAGGGACATGCATAGGAAAAGGTATATGGGAAGAGGTATGTAGCTTCCATATCCTCTCTGGATATGCCACCCTCTAAGAGCCTCCACATGCTCAGCAATCCAGAAGCTACGGAGCCCCATCTTTCTGGGTTCTTATGGAGGCTTCCTTACATAGACATGGCTGATCAAATCATTGGCCATTGGTGATCCATGTAACCTTCAGCCCCTCTCCACTCCTCAGATGTTGAATGTGGGACTGAAAGTCCTAATCCTCTAATCCTGCCTTGGTCTTTCCAGTGACAAGATCCTATCCTGAAACAACTTAGGTTCTGTCAATCACCATTCAACTCACTAGCACATAAAGAAGACATTTAATTTGGAGGGTCTTAGGATTTAAGGACTTGTGTGTCTAAAAACTGGGAGGAAGACCTAATGTATATGTTAACAATATTACAACCACATTAGTGACTCCAGAAGAAAACATCCTTTCAGTGTTTCCTTCACATCAAAGTGAGACAGAATCTGAATCTAACTGGTGTACGGCATAGTTAAGAGGAGGACCCATGTTTAGTGCCACAGGGTCTCCTTCAGCTCCTGTATGATATAAAAGTTAGAAGTTCCTGAATGCTCTGTAGCAAAACAGTGAAGGTAGCTCAATGTCTAGAGAATCATCACATGGCAGGATTAAAGATGCAGGATAGGGCTCCTAAGTATGGTCATACTGACTGTAGAAAAATCAAGAAGCAACATTTTCTTTCTAATCAAAGTATAGCATCTAGATGTGTGAGCCTTTACTCCTGATGACAGAACACATAAGTTAAATATTTTTCATATTTTAATTGCTTAATCTATTCATAGACGCCCTCCTCCACTAGGGCACAGCAGCTAGAATTGTAGCCTTCTCTCTCTTTTTCCCCACTAGGTTTGACTGAGACAAGTACAGTTATAGTTTAGTGCCCTGGCTTTCTGCAACTTTCCATTCTGATTGCTCAAATCTACTTAGATTATGGCAACTCAGCCAGGACATAGTTTCCCCAAGATGTTTTTCAAATACAACTGGACTGTGACCGCCATGGGCAGCACATGTAAGTCTCTTACAAGTCAATATTTAATCAAACCGAAGCAACCCAGCTGGACCATCAGGAAGATGGTATTTTATCTCTACTTACTTGACCAGGCATGACTATGGACTCAGTTTATTGGTATCATCTAGCTATTACTGGAGCTTTGGCAGTCTGGGCTATGATAGGTTCTTTGATTTTGCCTTACACATTGACTCACAACCCCTTTCAATTTGACAGGCCAAGTTGTGCAGTGGGCATAAAGGTTTAGGTAACCCCATTTTTACATTTGTTTAGATAAGATATGAGTTCAAAAATCCAACAGGGCTGTTTTTATATCTTACTGCCTCTCTGTCTCCATCTCTACTTTTTTTTTTTCTCTATAGGGCACGTGAGCTTGCCAGAAAGACACAGAGAGACAGAGAAACAGAAAGAGAGAAATCACCCCCCAGGGTTATGGCCATGCTGCAATCCCTTCTCCTCCATTCTCCTCTCTGGTTCTTGGGCACACACGCACACACGCCTGGAATTAGTTTAAACCACTGGGTCCAGGACTCAAACTGCGGTCGACTACATGAGAGTCCAGCGACATAGCCATTATACCAACTGCTGGTCCCTCCATCTTCACCTTATGAACTGAAATCTCCAGCCCTCTACTTAGAACTAGAGATAATGGCATATGTAAGAAACAGAGGGGAAAAAAATATTTTTGTATGAAATTATTTTAGCTATTGGAGTAATGTAACATCAAAAAGTCCATTCAGGCTATACTTGACATACTCTAAAATCACACTCTTTATAACCAGAGGGAAATAGATTTTATTTAAATTCAATTTGTCAAAGTACAAATACTTGTGTACAATTTATGTTGTTCTTTTTTTAAACTTAAAAGTTAATAGTACATTTAGCATTTCTCCAGATTTTATTTTTTGTTTTCACAATCTACAATACAAAGTCTGCTTGAAAGAACTTGTAGAAATTTGAAAATTGTACATTTACTTGAAAAGTTACTTTCATAAAGAAGTTTCTTCACTGTTTCAACTTATAGTTTTATAATTAAATGGAATAAATGGAAGTAAGAATTTAAAGTTAAAATACTACCCAACTAACTTTTTTGTTGTTTTGTAATTTAAAAAGTCTTTCTCATAGTGCATATATCCTTAACATTTTCTACTGGATAAATATAACATTGACATAAAAACACATATTGATATGTGAAGGATGACTATAGAATTAACCATGCAGATTGACATTTTGGTGTTTCCATTGTGTACGTTGTGTAAGAGCTCCTCAATTTTAATGCACTTTAAAAATAAGTTTTTGGAAACTTGTTTAACATAATGGTAGTTGTTCACAGAGTTTACATAAATGTTTGAGGAGAATATTACTTTCTACACAAGTAGTCCCTGACACTCTAAAGCTGAGGTCACAATTTATATCAATATGATAAATATTCACTATTTTATTTATGGGTATGAAATTACAACATTTTACTGGCAACAAATCTAACAACACAGTACGTTAAGAAATATCAAATTTGTATGTAAAAAGAATAAGCTTGTGATCAGCATAGTTTTTTTCACACCTCAACACACTAAAAGTTTTTTCTGATAAATGTGAGGTATTATTTAGATTTGGGATGTTGTTGGAATAAGAGAATAATTTCTTACTGATAACCAGATTTTATATTTGAAACTTCAGATGTTCTCTTTTTATTAAGATACATTTCAAATAATAGAGTACCTTTACTTTTTTTTAATAGAAAATGTTTTCAACTTCTCAGACTTTTAATCTGAATATTTCTAATACTTTTATAACCTTCACACATTGTCCACTAACAATTTTCATTAAATATTTTAACATTTTATAGTAATAAGGATAAACCTAAATTACTGAATTTTCCTTTATATTATCACCTGCAATGACATATATTCTTAACACTCATATGTAAACCATGTTTCAAAACTTGTTTTGGCTTCACAAATGAGAGAAATTATAACTACTTATTAAAAGACACTACAATTTTCCAGTTTAATTATTAACTGCACAAACAAAGAAACATGTTTCTTCTTCCTCTCTTCTTCTCTTCTTCCTTCTGTTTCTTGAAATTGTCTGGTTTCATTCTATTTGATAAGAGTAGGTATAGGGTAGCTTCAGCACTGCAACACATGCACCAGCTCTTCCAATGTTAACAGGAACTTCCTGAGAGAGAGAGAGAGAGAGAGAACAAGAAAAGAAACACTTGTCTTTAGCATAATATAGGATGTTGAGATTGAAAATGCCCTTACAGTCATAAAGTTTGTCTGGAATCATAAAAGACCCCGTATTGCCAAAGCAATTCTGCACAAGAAGAGTGAAGTGGGTGGCATCTCACTCCCTGACCCAAAAATATATTACAAAGCTGTGAAAATCAAAACAGCATGGTATTGGCACATAAACAGACGTGAGGACCAATGGAACAGAGTAGAGATCCCAAAAATAAACCCAAAAACACATAGTCAACTATCTTTGAAAAAGGGTACCAGTCAATCCAGTGGAAAAAGGAAAACCTCTTTAGCAAATGGTGCTGGAAAAACTGGGTAAGACTTCTTAAATAATACCTGCAAAGCACAGTTGATAATCCCCAAAATAGACAAGTGGGACTACATCAGACTTAGAAGTTTCTGCATGGCAAAAGACAGTAATTAGTGTGAATTGACAGCCCTCAGAATGGGAAAATATTTTTGTAAACTATGCGTCAGATAAGGGACTGATTGCCAGAATTCACAAGGACCTCAAGCAGCTGTTCTGAAAAAAGATGATCAATCCTATTAAAAGATTGGAGAAGGAGTTGAAAAAACTACTCTCTAAAGATCACATATGAATAGCTAAAAGGCATATGAAAAAATGATCAACATCCCTCATTGTAAGGGAATTGCAGATCAAAACAACAATGAGATATCACCTAACCCCAGTCAGAATGTCCAAGATTAAAAAAGACAAAAACTGGTAAGTGCTGGCGGGGGTGTGGTGAAAGGAGAACTCTTTTACACTGCTAGTGGGAATGTAAATTGGTCCAGCCACTGTGGAGAACAATTTGGAGATTCCTCAAAAATCTACAAATAGAACTACCATATGATCCAGCAATCCCACTGCTTGGTATCTACCTAAAGGGCAGAAGAATACTTAATTGGAAAAGTGCTTGCACATCAATGTTTATTGCAGCACTATTCACAATTGCTAAGTCATAGAAACAACACAAATGCCCACGAACAGATGAATGGATAGAAAAACTGTGGCACATATACTCTATGGAATACTATTCATCCATAAGAAACAACAAAACCCTGGTTTTTGACAGGAAGTGGATGAACATGGAAGCTTTACTGCTGAGTGAAGCAAGCCAGGCTATGAAGGAGAGGCATCGTATGTTCCCACTTAATATATACCGAGTGTCCACACTCTATGACTGAAACCGATTGACTAAAGGATATAGAAACACAGTATATAGATGTAAATAACAGATATAGTGTGCATGAAAGAGGAAGGTCTGAGGAAGGACATTTAGAAGAAAAATAGGGAGGCAAAACATTAATGGGACAAAGAAATGTGGTATTATCTGTTGAAGATATTTTATAGTTTTATCAACTGTACTAGGGAGAAATATTCACCTGTTGAAATATCCATTTTGTAAGCTAAATAATGTGATTGAATGTATAAAAGAAAATGAAATAAAAATTAAAAAAAAGAAAATGCCCGTATATACTCTAGATCCAACTTTCATCATGCATAAAGGTAAAGGAAATTGCAGTCCAGGAAACAGTGTAGTATGGTGGAAAAAATATAGCTCTTATAATTATGAGTCTAAGGATCACTTGAGTAAGTTACACCTCTTTGATAATTTTCTCAATTAAAAACTACAGGTAATAATACTCACCCTTCAAGATTTTTGTGAGAGTTAAATAAATTAATGAATGAGAAGAATTTGAAATACTGTAGTTATAATCCTATTACTTATTACTTCTATCATCTGTTACTTTTGCATTTTCCAAGATGACTCAATGAAACACTGAAAGAGCAAGGAATAGAATCTAGAGCTCTTAGCTACTGTTCTAAAGGCTTCAGAAAAGTAAATTATACAAGTTTAGTAAAAAAGAAAAATTGGATGATTTTATTTGACCTCTTTGTCTAATTTATTTATTTATTTATTCATTTTGCTCCATATTAATATTAGGTCTTAGCACTGACAAGGAGTTACTTAGAAAATTAGGATTTGGGTCCTTCTGGGAGTCTAAATAAACCAGACTGTTGAAGAGAGATAGAAACTTATCATCAACTGTTAATATATTAACACCTATTTATTGAGAACACTAGCCAGCTATACCCTATATAATACAGACTAACATAAAGTCACTGTAAGGGAAGGTAAAATTAGGTACCAAATACAAAGATTGACCATTTGTGATGATAATGAATAATTAATCTATTCTTACTTTTATTAACTCATGATTTAATTAATGAAATACCATTAGATATTTGGGGATAAATCTAAGAGAATCTAGCAATAAATCTGACAAAACTGTCAAAAGGAAGAAGTTTGCCTATAGTGTCTTCAAGATGTCTTTCAATGTTTCTTTTTGTACCATTTCTGGAACTTACTCTATTAGGCAATCCACACTTTGAAGGAGGTTTAATCCTAGTCTCTTATTCTGCACAAAATTCCTTGAATGACTAAAGAAATTAAGAGTACCACAGGCTGGCCGGTGGTGTTGTGGTTAAGTATGCTGGACTCCCACATGCTCAAATATGTTTCTAGTTCTGAATCTGGTGGCTTGTTTTCTCACTTTCCATCTCTCTCATGCTCTCTCGCTCTGTCCCTCTCTGGTCAAATTAAAATATATAAAATTAAATAAAATAATTCTTTAAAAAAAAGAGTATTGGAGTTTACACAGTCTCTATAAGGAGAAAATTGAAGACTTTTCTCCTATGCACCAGCTAATAAGAAGGACAGACATTTGTTGGGACCAGCCGT